TATATATATATATATATTTATATATATATATATATATATAAGAAAAATTGGTATAACAATAACTTGTGAATCGACCTCGTTTGCAAAAAATTTAAATAAAATCTTGATTATATTACACAGAAAAGCACTCTTCGAAATTAGTCTGGTCAGGAGATGCGATATTCAGGTGATTTAATTATTTACTTAATAAATTATTAATTTGTATTTATATTTCGGGGTAACTCGAGCACATAAATGTGTCAATTAGGGCACAATATTCAAGCAATTCTCAAGCTCTTTATAAGTTAACTTTAACAAAAAACCTTTTAACAGAATAAAAATTTTTTCATTCTATGTTTTGTGAAACTCTATATATGCAAATGAAATAAATCAATAGAAGTAGAAGCACCTTAACTCGGTGAAATATGATTAATGACTATATTGAAATATGGTGAGCTTTATAAATTTAATTTTTGTTTATAAAAATTATACATAACAAATACTAATGTTTGTATGATTTTTCCCGGTCCCGGTTTGGCCAGGACGATCCCGGATTTCGCACCATGTGTCCCGGGTTTATTTTTTAAATTAACATTTGTCCCGGATTTAGATTTTTTGTCTTGGATTGTGTTGGCTTTCGATAAGTGTTTGATAATAAAATTACAACTACCATCAAATATCTGATAATGATATCTTATGGCACAAGACAACGAGTATGTTTATATGAATCAATACGTTAGGAATAAGAAACTTGCCAAGTCCAAAATTCCAAAATAGGCTTAAAACAGCTTCTTACCTGAATAAATTCGAACTTTGATTTTCAATTCAAACTCATTCTTTTGAAAAAATTTTTTTTTAAAAAATATATGGTTATCTGAAATATAATAATTCTTACATTTTTTATCTATGGTTTTGTTCAGTGTTTGGGCCATGTATAAAATTCTGCACATATATTATCATAATAAATAGACTTATGCACTAGTCAAATTTCAATTAATACATTTTATGTCAAGTTTGACAATATCTAAATTACTTGTCCTAGACAGTAATAAATCTCGTTTCGTAATTTTTTCTTTCAATTTAATTAATGTATGTTTTAAAGGAAAAGTTCACGATTTTTAAGGACTATCTCAAACCATTATAAATTGATAAAGTTCGGTTATTTTTCTATTCAAATATTTTTCTCTTCTATAAATATGGTTGTAGGAGAGAAAAAGTATTCTAGACGTATTTTCCATTTCTGAAATTTGATTGCTTGTTGCAATTTTATGAACAAGTGATAACAAAGATCCAATTTCAACCTATACTTTTCAGAAATTTGGGACATTCAGAGTCAAAAAATCTGATTCCGAGGCCAATATTGCTTTTAAAAAAATCCGGGTTGCAAAGTGAAAATCCGGGACAGCCCGCCCTAATCACGGTACGGTACTCTTCTTAGTCTTGTTAAATTTTGATGTTATTAACACTTCCTATATTTGCAAATTATTTTCAAAATAAATTAGTTTAGAAAAAAGCGGCTGTGATAATTCATTAATATTGTTTTGAATTGCTTTGAGACTATTACTTTGAAACTCTATATATTGATCCAAACAAAACTTATATGCTAAAACTAAAAATTCATTTACCACTAAAATATTACTTATATTCAGACTTTCAGAGCCAGTACACGAATTCGAATGCAAGTAAACTGAATCCGTTATCATAACGATTTTTATAACCACGAATGACGTGCACCATAATACCATAAATCACAAGAGAAATTTCTTGGCCTCTAAAATGATCACATATAAATAAACCTTATGCCTCTTGGAGATTGCTCGTCATAAATTTATTGTTTATGATAATTTACATTACATAATTGTTGAATTAGCAAAAATTCATATTATGACAGCTGCTTAGTGACGATTTCGTGAAAAATCTTATCAGAATCGACGCCAGCGCACACCCGCCCACATTTTTCCAGTGAGGTGTTTGAACAATGATAAACGATCGTATAGGTAAACATAATTATTAATTCAGATACAAACAAACGCCGAGCAAATATGCTGTCGACAAAGTCACCTCGCTATTTCGTATCATTTTTAAGACGAATAATTCAAGAGTATATAAAAGCAGGTGTAAACAGTTGCTACATGTTGACTCGATGAGAAAGTGACAACAGTAACAAACCACTGTTTCTTCCGGGGTCTAAACAATCTATTAAGATTGTTTTACCAAAATTAAAAAAAATACAGTTTTTTTCGATCGCTTTTAGTTTTAATGTAATTTATTGATTTTTATGAACTCTATTTATTGTTAAGTTAAACGTTTTTCTAAGGTGAGTGAATCATTAAATGCTTAATAAATTACCGACAATAAACAATAAAAGTGAAGTGAATGAAGTAATGAGTGAATAGTGTCAAATATAAAAAATCTATCTAATATAAAAAATTACAAAATATATTTGTAAACTATAATTGATAACTAAATTGAGCATGAAAACGTTCAAACAGTATAATTAATTAAGAATTCATTTCCCTAAAACTTCGAGTTTAATTTGATGTATTCTAAATTTTAATAATAATTCTTATTTCTAATATAAAACTTCTAATTTATATTTATATTTAAATGCTTTTTAGTTATACTATACTTTATACTAAATTTACTATACTGTAACACCTATTTTCGGAGCTGGATAATCAGATTAATTGATTTGTGAACGCTTAACAAAACCTAGTCCTTTTTTGAACGTGAAAATTATTTTGATAATATAATAAAATCAAATTCTTTGCAGTTATGTTTAAATTGATTTGATATTATGCTCATTTTCTACATTTCTACTTTATACTAAATTTACTGTACTATAACACTCATTTTCGGCCCTGAATAATTAGATTAATTGTTTTGTGAATGCTTAAAAAATCTAGTTTTTTTTAACGTGAAAAGTTTGTTGATAATTTAGTAAACTCAAATACATCATAGAAATATTTAAATAAATTTAATATTACACTCATTATCGAACATAAATAATTAGATAAATTGGTTTAAAAATAATTACTCCCAAACTCCGATTTTTTTTGAACGTATTATTTTAAATTGAATAAAAATAAATGCTTTATAGTTATACAAAAATAAATTTCATATATTATTATTATTATTCAAAATAAATTTAATATTACACTCACGTTTTTATAATTAAAACAAGTAAATTAAAGGTTTTGTCCCAAAAATACGGATATACTTACAGATTTATTTAAATTGATAGCAATTGATAGCAATTAAATATTTTCCTCCACAAAGCCATATATACTTGAAAGTGTATTTATATTGATAGAATTTGTTATTAATTATATTTAATAGTTTTCTCCCATTATACCAGATCTGCGCAAAGATTTGTTTAAACTGGTAGAAGTTATTAGTTAGTACAATATTGTCGTATTTCAATATTGAACGTTTAATATAAAAAATAAATACAAATTTAAAATGTTTAAATTAATTGAACATTAATTTTTATAAACTAAAACGCTTTTTTAAACCTGACTCTAAAGTCGGGCCTCTACACAAAAGTAGACCCATACACTTTTGCATATATGTAAGGTGATCATATGTTTTTAAGTAAAAATCGGGACGGACATTTTTAGTTACGGTGGGGAGGTAAATAGCTTAAATATGATGTTAAAATATCAAATAATTTATTAAAATAAAAATCAGTATTTTTTTAAATAAAACTTTTTAGGCACTACTGACTATGAAAATTACTTTAGTTCCATTTTTGTTATATAAAATACTTACAATTTTGGATCTATATGTTTTTCACTTTTGAGTCGTGTATAAAATTGTATTAAATTTTCTTCATAATTAAGTTAAAATTATTAAATGTGAGAAACTGTTTTAACCCGCCTGTGGAATTTTGTAATCGCCAATTTTCTCGTTCATAAAGTCCTAACATTCATTCTCATTTTAACGTATTAATAAGCATACTCGTTGTCTTGAGACAATTTGAAAATGATATACATTAGGTTACAATTGTATCACAATATATATCACTTTCGGATATTTGATGGGTAGTTGAAATTCAGTTCAAAACCGGGACAAAATATTGTTTTTAGAAAAACCCGGGACTTAAGGTGAAATATGATCACCTTAATATATGACGCTTAATTTTAGAAATATTTATTTCAGCAGATGATTTTACTTATTGGGATTTATATACAAAATGTATAATTTTAAAATAGATTATTTTTCATCTTTTAAAAAGCAAATTATAATTAATAAAATCAGTTGATTGCAACATTTGCATTATACATACATATAATTCATTATTTTATAAACCTTTAATCGGTTGTTTCCATACTGTGTGATTTTAAACTTTTAAAATATTTGTGCAAAATTTTGCGAAAGAAAGAAAATTATGATTATTAAATAAAACTGTTGTAATTAATAATCACAATTTAATTTATCTATTATGATTATTGAGAAACAGTTGTTTGTACTTATTTAGAATATGCGCACAAATAACTTATCGATTCATAAAACTTCCATCATTCTCAGTTATTTCCACAATTAGTATATCTTTCATCAAAGGAGCGAATATCATCCAAATACTCTAATAAAAGACTTGTTAAAACAAGTACCTATGAGAAGAATAAAAAGAAAGTGGTCGCAAGATTTAATAAATTAACAATCAATATATTTATGTAAGGAAATTCCCCACTGGGGGAATTTCTAAAAGCCCTGTACCCGTCAGCAAATAACCTCATTGAACCCAAGGTTCAGATTGGTTATAAGAAATAAATAAATAAATAAATAAATAAATAAATAAATAAAAAATTAGTATATCTTGAACTTTGTATTATTATTCAGGTTCAACAATGAGTTCGCCATCAACCCACAACAGTCACAGTTTCAGCGTGATGCGCTTAGATGACAGTTCGCTAAAGGTCGTCGTTTCCCAAGGCGATTGCGCATCCTTGGCCAGAGCTCATCTTAGGATGAAGAACGCGGCCGAAGTACTTCAGTGGAGTGTTGAATCGGCTGGAGGCACTAAACCTTTCGGATTTTTAGACGATTATTGTCGCCTGGTGATTGTTGTCAAAGGTGAAGGACTGGAGAATGGCGATAACACGGTCAAGTGAGTAATAATTATAATATTAAGTAACCAAAATTGGTACAAATTTTTAACCAATTGAAAATGAACCATCTGGGCGCTAAACAGAAAATCCCTCACACTAGGATTTTCTTGGGGCAAAATACCCAGTATTATTTATTGCTTTTAGTAAAAAAAAGAGTTTAGTAAGTTTAGTAAAAAGAGTTTAGTATGTTAAGAGCAACGACGCTTGATTCAGAGATCCCAGGTTCGAAACCCACTTCCAGCAGCCTGTTGTAAAGCAGTAGTGACAACGCTTTTCAATTGGAAATATAGATAGCAATGTGTTTCCAAGTAAAAATAGATCTTAATCCGGCATTGCTGCACCAATAAAAAGTCAGCCCTATCAGATAAATTCTAATAATTTAATCATCGAATATGCATGGATTAACCATCAGGTTACCATCTAAAAATAGTAAGAAGTTTCAACCGAACAGCTCAGAGGACGTAAGGTTGTACAGTATACAAGTAATATACGAAATGTTGTAATGCATACAAAATAACTATAACTGGAACCTTTATTTTAAAATTAAAATACAAATTAGGCACTTTTGGATAAAAGCAACAAACTTTACTGTTTTGAATTTCAATAAGTTTGCTGTGGATCTGGAGTAAAGACTTTTATCTTGAAACCACAAGTTACATATTCCATTTCAGCCTCGGACAACTTGATATCAAACAGTAGAGTTGTCAGTTTTTTGAAAAAAAGAAGACTTTTTAAAAAAAAAATTTTTTATTTTAAAATATTTTGGAAATTCTGAATTTTTTTTCAATGCAATCGTACTGCTTTAACTGCATAGAGTCAAAATATCGAACCGCGTAAGCGCCGCGTCGCCGTCTAACGGATAAACATTTGTACGGAACACAGGAATGTAAACAAAATTTATACTTATTGTTAACATCTCTATAAAATATCTGATAATTTGATGTGCATATGTCTCATGATCATTTTTGACGTAAAATGTTTTTTGAATTATTCAAATCGGACGCTCCGTTTTCTTAAAAACTGAGTTACGTTTTCGGCACTTTTTGCCCCGTATCTCCGGAACGGCTAGACCTGAATGTTTTTTGAATTATTCATATCGGTTGATCCGTGTTCCCGAAATCGTCGACGAAAATTTGTATCCGCACATACACACACACACACACATACATCCATTTTTTCTAAGGTATGCCAAAATATTCAGAAACCTTTGAAACGTAAAGATATGCAAAAATTTCCATTTTCGATTTTTGCGATTACTATAACTTGCCCCACGGGAAGTTAATAAAAAACATTTACCAATAAACTGTTAATATCAGTTTTATAAAAAAAAAAAGTAGAATCTTGAGCTGAATTTATAATCCCATCGACCATTTCATTTCTGTGTTCTAAAAATACATTTTCAACAACTTCTTTAAAATATTGAGAATTTAAAATATATTATATAATATAATACAATATGGCAAATTGAACCAGAATATACTCGTATGTATAAATAAGTATAAATTACTCGTTCTGAATAATTAATTTTTCATGTTATTGAGTGTAGCTTATATATATTTTCAATTCCAATGTTTTTGTAGCAATAAAAACTGTTTTTTATGAGTAAGATATCAAATGTTTTGATATTTAGTTTTGAAATTTTTTAAAATTCCATAATATTGAGTAAGCTTTGAATCTATTTTAATTTCTACGCTTCTTCATAAAAATACAACTTTTTTCCAATTTGTAAGAGATCATGTTTTGGTTCTGGAATGTTCAGAAATTATAACACCTATGATTCTGATATTAATTCATTGATTTTTTTTCTATTTTATTGCAGATTGTCTTTCTTCGTCAAGACACTTCCACGATATAATGAAAACAGATTAAGACAAATTCATCAACATGGTGTTTTCAGAAAGGAAACTATGATGTACTACCTTTTGCTACCAATGCTCAAAGGCGATAATGGTAAGCCTTCATATTCGGTATTAAACATATTATTATCAAATTCTCTCTTCTAATTATGTCTATTATTTAGGACCCACAGCCTGGCGTCCAAAATGCTTCCTCGTCCGCAACGACATAGTCGTTTTGCAAGATTTATCCATGTATAATTTTCGCCATTCGTACCCAAAATTCTCTTTGGATCTTGATCATGTTAAAGTTGCTTTAACGGCATTGGCTCGTATGCATGCAAGTTGCATTATCTACGAGAAGAAAAAAAATTGTTGCATGGGGAGAGTTTACAAAGATCTTATGTTCGAGACTATGGCCAATAATAATCAATGGTGGAGGACTGGAGAGGATACTGCTTTAGCAATTGCTGAGGAATCTGAGAAGTAAGCGAGATCTTAATTATAATGGAAATAATATTATGAGGATTGCACTTTTCCAAACTTAGAATAACAATATTAGCTCTGCATAAAATTAGTTAGCTCTTAGCGTCCATATCTGAGCTTTATAGAATTGGACCTACAATGACCCCAATTGCATAGAGCTTTAGTTGATAAACGAGAATTTGGAATGAAACTTGTTATTATTGTATCATTTTATAATTTTTTTTTTGTTAACTCCTTTTTATTTATTACATTAAAAATATTTATATTATACTAGATGACCCGACAGACGTTGCAACATTGTACATGTCTACAATTCTTTAATATAATATAATAATATTTACCGTTTGCCTAAAAATAATAATTATTTTAACTCTTCCAAAATGCATATGCATTTATAATATGAGCGATGTTAAATGCGGAACTGCTTTAAATAAAACGATGAGTCTCAATTCCTACAGTATATTAGAAATTGAATTCTTTTAAATGGTATAACATAACCATACCCGTAACATAACACTGGTTTTAATAATGATTGTATCTTAAACTTCTCCTAATCGATATCGTGAGGGCCGAATTGTATGTATTCATCTTCACTTTTCCATTTGTTGTTATAAAGTGAAATTTTTACGAATTTTAAAAATATTGTGGAAAGATTAGTAAAGGATGCAAAGAAATTATATATTGAAAAAAAAAACTATATTGAAAATTTAATATACGAATTATGTGTTGGCGCCCCCTACGGCGTGCGCTCGTATTTTTCCCAAGAATCGCATCATAGGTAGGACCAGCACTAATTAATACTTAATTTCATATTTTAAGTGAATTTATTTTTTCGTATGTGTATCATTCAATCTCCCATGCATATACTGTATCTTATATTATTTTAATTTCTGGCACATCTCAGCTGCTTTTTGGCAATAATAATGAAGACAAATCATTTTTCTTATTCAAAATCATAAATTTATTACACATATTCTAATATTGTCTAGGTTCATAAGTAAATTGAAATATTTGGCAGATGATAGTTTTCATTTGTTTTCAATGCAAACAATGGCATGTCGTTTTTTGCCATTTTCTTCATTAATTTCTACAATGTTGCACATACACCCCAGTACTTTTTAATCACATACATCTTAGAAAATTTTCTTTACAAACTTCAGAAAGATTTATCAAAATCCGAATAATCGTTTAGGAGGAGTATACAGTAAGTGCTTGTAATTTAACATGAACTTTATATAATAGCAATACAGATCAAATTGATTCTACGTTTTAGTTAGAAAACGTTTGTATGTGAAAAAGAAAAGAGCTGTTTTTAAGGTTTTCCCGGCAATTATTGGACATCAACAAACATTTTAAAAAAAAAATTGGCCAAACTGGTCCAGGCGTTGTTGAGTTATGCGCTTACCAACACATTTTGCGATTCATCTTTATATATAAGATGTTGCTCATATGAGCATAAATAAATATGAATAAAAAGGATATGAGTCATATCCCATACAAAAATGTAAATTCAAATGGTTTCATATATTAAAATCAGCTGAAAATATCGACGAAACATACTCCGACAAAAAGTTCTTTGATTCTAGAGTATACGAGGTCTGTTCAAAAAGTACCCGGAATTTTCGTTTTTTCAAAAAAATATTTATTTATTCGTCTACATTAATGTGGTCCCCTTCAAAGTAGTCCCCCCCAGATATAATACACTTATGCCAGCGTTTTTTCCAATTTTCGAAGCACCCTTGATATTCACTTTTTGATATGTCCTTGAGCACTCTCAGCGATTTTCTTCAATCGAGGAAAACCGCCGTCCTTTCATGGGTCTCTTCAACTTTGGGAATAGGAAAAAGTCACACGGAGCCATATCTGGTGAATTTTTGCACTTTGCAACACTTTATTTCATTTTTTACGCAAAATTTAATACAAATTCTTTGACTTTTCAATTCTTCCATTGTAAAAATCGCCGAGCTCAGAAAAACACGTCGAACCTTAGCGACTACCACAGACAAAGTAAACAGTGAATATAGCTGAAAATTTCATCATACTTTAGGGGCATGTATACCAACACAATAAAAAAAAATTTTGACAATCAGACACTCCAGACCCGCGAAATTTAATTATTAGTAATTCCGGGTACTTTTTGAACACACCTCGTATATGTAAATTTGTAAACGGTTATTGATCTTTTGAGAGAAAAATTTATATATGAAATTGTTTCCTTCTCTAAGATCTAATAACCAACAGTTTTGGAACTTTGTAGTAATATATTAGTAAAAAGTAAATACTTTCATATCATGTTATTATAAATACTTATTTATCGTATCTTACAAATCAATTTGATATATCTAAAATTTGATGCCGACATTTGCAAAAAAATTAGCATATGTTTTAATTATATATGTTGTTCCAATTTCAGATTCGGTAAATATACCGAATACCATTCCATGGTACAGGAGAAGTTAATTGATTTCCTGAGATTGGCATGGTCTATGGTAAAACCATCGCGCATTTATAAAAATGTGGTATGCCACCGCGATACGCGCAATCACAATTTGATGTTCAAATATAATTCAACTGGTCTACCTGAACAATGCATCTTGGTCGATTTCCAAAGATGCACCTACAATCCACCAGCTTTGGATTTCAATCATCTTCTATATCAGACAACATCTAGAAGCTTTAGAGACCAGCACTACCAGGAATTGAAGAGGTTCTACAGAGCAGCATTTGTAGAAAACATTACGAAGGAAAATTTGGATGTAAACGATATAATTCCTGAACAAGAGTTTGATGATAGCACAGATGATTTGCGTTTGTGCGCTAAAATTTTGGCGGTGATGACATTGCCTCTTACTCAAATGCCTCCTGAAATACTGGCAGTTTTGAGCCACGATTCTGAGGAGTTTGATCGTACTGTTAATGGAATGAGAAAGCAGACTGTTTTGGATCTCATGGAGAACAATGAAAATTATCGTACTAGCTTGATAGAAGCTATGGATGAACTACTGGAAGAACTTTTAGAGGTTCCAAAGAATAAGAAGTAATTCAAGAGAATGTAATATCTTAATTAATAATGTAATTGCTCTTAATATAAAATACGATCGATCATAATGAAACATGCCCATTACAAATTTGTGTGCCACTGGTTACTGGTTTTTATTGCAAAAATAGTACACAAATATTTATTAAAAAACTTTTTTCATACACGAGTAATATTTGCAATACCAGTATTGTACAAATTATAAGATACCGGAAACATTTAAATAAACGATATATGAATATTTAATACATCATAAAAAAGAATTTATTAAATTAAAAGAAAATGGCGATCTACTCAATTTATCTAAAATAGTTTTTAGGTGTAAGAAGATTAGAACTAATTCTATTTGTTTACTACTTTTGTTACTCGTATTTAATTTTGATTTAAATTATGTATGTTATTTTAGAAAGCACTGATAAGTATAAGGAATTGTTGAACTGTATTTTATAAGACTGCTAGGCAAATCACGTTTATTTATAAAAAAATGTACTGTAAATGTACCTGCATGTAAACTGAACTGTAATAATTATTAAATAAAGTATTTTAAACGTAAACGTATCTTCAAATTTATACTTATAATATATTAATAGGTCGACGACTTCATTTTAAACTTATGGAATCCTATCATTCATATAAGACAAATAAATTTTTCATAAATATTTAATTTTCAAATTGTAATCTACTATGGTGTTTCATATATTACATTATATTTATGAAATTATATGCATATAAAATCATATGGTAGATATATTAACTACTACTTAAAATAAACCGTCTAATGCCGATCATTTTACCAAAAGACTAATGTTTTCTTTATGATTGCATATAGATATAAGTCTTTTTGCAACCCATATTTCTACTAATATATTATACTAGCTGACCCGGCAAACGTTGTTTTGCTAAGTAAACAATTTCTAGAGAATCAGAAATGTTAATACTTTAAGTGCATAAGCATGTGTTGTTTGAATGCTATATACAATGAAGTATTATAAAAACAATAAACCCCATAAGTTTGTTTATATTTTGTCAATACAATCAAACTGGAAGATTTATATACTTTCTACGTTTTTGTATATAAATAAAATTACGAACAAAACTATATTACAATATGATCATAATTAAATAATATTCACGTAAAACATCCTATTAAACGTAATTGAACATCATCTGTCAAAAATGTTTGGCATTTCACGTATTAGCCACCATTGTTTTATTTAAATTACGCTTCTACAAAAATTTTCAAATTAAAAATATAAAGTATCTACGCGATTTTAAAATATTATCTCACCTTTCCGACCATCTCTGGATGGGCACGAATTTTTCAAGACTAAGACTGGCCAAATCGGTTTAGCCGTTTTCGAGTTTTGCCGAATTATTTGATCGAGAGCTCTATTTTTATATATAAGAAAACGTAAAATTTCTGAAATTCATTTATTAAATAATTTAAATATTAAATGAATAAAAAAAATAGTGTTTGAAAATTAACAATGTCCAAGATTGATCCTGATCAATCAAATCAAATTTCATTATATTACCTAGCGCTTTTTAAAATTCGAATTGTAATTAACTATATGTTTAGTAAAAATTAGTCTTTAAAACGACGAATTTATTTTTATTTTACAGTAACATATTTTATGATTTTAGAAAGCGATGTACTAAAATAAAATAAAATTTATCAATAGCCCCATAGCGCTTTTGGATTCCTTGAAAGACTTCCTATTTCTATATGTAATTTAAATCGATTATAAACGTCAACAAAATTCTCTTATTTAAATATGTTTATTAACAATTTGGTTGTTAATTATATAACATCTATATATACAGTAACAAAATATTAACTATTCGATGAAGTAAAAGTAATACTTATGTCCAATTTCTAAAAAAATATGTAAAATCAATTTTACATAAACATTTAAGTAAATAACTCTATTCCTCAATGAAAATTCATTATTATAACTAACTCCATCAAGCAATTACGTTCACCCATTTGTCATTTTCCTTAAATATAGCTTCCAATTCTGTACTATGTTTATTTGAGTCAATTTTCGTGGGTTCTTTCTTCACTGGTACAAGATCATCTTTATTTGATCGTTTTGGTCTATTGTCTTCATCATCGCTAGTATCGATTTCCATAACATCTTCGTTTGTGCTTTTATTTAGACTTTTACTTTTCTTAACTGGCGGTTGAACTCCTAATAAAGCTCTAAGTAAACCGCCGCAGAGTAAATGTACTGGAGCCATGGCATGAGGTGCAGGCACCAAAAACTGCAAAACGATTGATTATTTTGATATTTATTTTATTCAATTAGGATGATGATATATCATGCGATGATGAATTCGTTGATGGTGATGATGATGATGATTACTTACGATGTAACAAGCAACTAACTAATAATATATAACCACAACAGCAAACAACATAATTGTAATGGTTACACTACATAAGATATATCACAAAAATTAATCCAAATGTTAGTGTTGAATGCTTTCAAGATTTGAAATTGAAAGCTGTTTTGATCTCCAATCACAAAAGACTGGAAACTATATTTTTATTCATGATAAAAGAGACTTTACGTTATTGAATGGACATATGGCGTATTGATGACAATAGTTTTAATCAACGATATAGAAAGCTCAAACTTTCAGCGAACGTTTTGGCGTATTTATTGCTGATACAAATTTGAAGTATTTTTTTTTAAATTACTGAATAAAACAATTTTCAAAGTTTTCGAAAAAAACAGTTACTAATGAAATGTCATAGAAAATGAAATATAGATATTTTCAATATTATTTGTAATTTAATTAATGCAAATTTTAAATTAAAGGATAATATTTTAATTTCAATTCATTTTTCCGATTAAATAAATTAAATACGTGAGACCTGTTGACGTATATAGCAATTAAAAGTTATATAAACAAGTTAACATATCAGATTGCTACAACATTTAAGAAGATTATTTGTCTATCCTCGGTCTATTTTCCTAAATATATATATTTCAATTTGATCATTACTCATCTTAACTCCATATTAAAATGCTTTAAAATACAACTGTTCAAAATAAACAAGATGACGAAGATCTTTTAATCATTACTTGATAATTCTTTTTATTATCGATTACTTCATATTCGTGTATAATTCGTTCTACGTATAATACATTACATTCAAAATTCTATGACGTTTTGGCATCAAAATGTCTCATTCAATTTTAATTGTTTACCTTCTGAAACTATTAAGAAAACACTGACCTTGCTCCAAATTTTGGAAGATGTCACCGAGATCATATTAATGGACAAGATTAACATTAATAGCTAATGTGCGTGCATATAATTAAGAGCTAACTATTACAAACTACAAAAATTACATTAACTACTTCTAAACTAAAAATCAAAGCATTAGTGTAATAAATACTCATGTTAATAAATATTATAATTTACGTTGTAGAAAACAAACACGTGCAAAGGTGCCGAAAATTTAATTAAAAGTATGACAAAAGGCATACTTATTACAATTAGATCAATGTTGCATATAATTGTATTATTCCTCAGATATATTAGTGTCAATTATCCTTCCAGACATATGATTTAAAATCATATCTTAGTCATATATTAGTGTTTTATTTTTGATATACAAGAAGTAGTTATAAATAATATTTATCATGATTTACGTATTCACAACTAAAAAACTGGCATAAATTATTTCAAACATTATGAACTGAGAATTTAAAATGTAGAATTAAGTTTTAGGTTATAAAAATTTATATTAAATTACGTATCCTTATCTATATTATTTACTTTGTACAAATTAATATTTAATTTGTACAAATTTAATTTGTGTATTATTGAATAATTTAATTTGCGAATAAATTAAAATTAAAAAATAGAGATTTGCAAGAAAAGTTTTGCAAGGTAAAATGTCAAGTTTGTATGTTGAGAGATATGAAAAACCACATAAATTGTCGCACCTACCTAGATGAAACCAAATACTTATATTTCAAGAAAAAAGTTTGTGCGAAAAATTGAAATAGTAATATCCCGGTGGCCAAGCTTTACAAAGACAGATATCAAGTTTATATTTTTAGATATATGGGAATCGAAAGTTGTTTTACGTAGATGATTTCAAATGTTTACTTTTTATTCATATATTTCAAATAATAGTACCTGAAGGCAGCTTCCACCTAGAGCTGTGTTTTTATGAACTATTCTTTCCATATTTAGATTAAAAACTTGTGTTCTTCAAATATATTGCATAGTGAATTGAGCTTGAGAATGGCCTAAATATGCATGTTTAGCAAAAGGTTCAGAATGCATATTTAATTATAAATCATATCTTGAAAACTAGGGTTTGTCGGTTTTCAAAATCCGGTTTTGAAAAACGGCTTTTTGACGAAAATTATGAAATTCGAAAACCGTTTTTTTAGCGGAAAATGTCATGTTATATCACGCTTTAAAAAACGATTAAGCCTAGTTCGAGACAGAGTATTTTGTATTTGAGAAAATTTTGTGAGTAAACAAAGAACATTTGTAAATAACAAATCGATAGACGTCCTCAGCTTTTAGCAATCATATTTCATTAAACAAATAATGAATTAAATATTAGAAATTCATTAATTAAAATTGTTCAGAATAGATTAAACTCTTAATTGTTTTTAGAACTAAAATTGACATTAACAAGTATGTATCAATATGTATCTAATGTATTTTTTTAATTAATGAAAAGTTAAGTTTTTCATTTAAAAATGTATTATTTTTATTTATTCGAACTTTCTTTCACCGTCATAAAAATATTTATATTCTCATATTTTCATGAATAACGAAAAATCATTTTCGAAGTTATTTAATGCAGATCAACTACTATTTCTTTGTTCTACCAATTAAAATAAATTTGTTTATTATTCATAAAATTGAAAATTAAATAAATTCAGTAAAAAACTGCTTTAAATCACACTAAATTTGCCAATAATTTTTTTTGTTATTACAGGATATTCGAGCAAAACATGATTTTTTATATGAAATTCGAAAACCAGCTAAAATCGGTTTTCTAGGAAATTTACAATTCAAAAACCAGTTTTTTGAAATTTCGGTTTTTGTATAAACCCTAGTAAAATTAGTAACATTGTAAATTCAAAGCATAAAAATTAAAATTCAATTCAAGGAAATATTAGTCATACCTTTCATTCATCAGAGAAAAGTGCAATATTTGTTTGTAAAATATTTCTATTGGCATAAATGCATTTTTAAATTAGTTACTAATTATTAGTATACCAATAAATAATTATGACTAGTCTTATGAAAAGATGCAGCGCTATTATTTTCACGTCACTGAAATAATGTTGTGATTCAAAAATATAAAACTTTTGAGTCTCCTAATACGCTGAAAAAATTGATAGTCTTCGATGTTAAAAAAAACAGATCCTGTTGATATTCTAAAAGAAGTCGTTACTTGATTTATTCTCGATATATTTAAGGAAGACGAAAATTACAG